AGAATTGTGTTAAATCAATTACACAGGAATAAATAATTTCTCACTTTATAATTTTAGTATGATTCTAGTTTTAAATATTAAAGTTATGGCTGATGGTAAATACTTGCTGAAATATAATCATGTGCATTAAAATGACGTGAACAAATTTTTATTCCGGAATTCACTTCTTTGATACCTACTGCTTTCATCCAAGCTTCTATTAGTTTACTTTTTTCTCTAATTTTCCGAATACATTTTTTACATATATAAAACGGCTAGTTTTTATTGGAAAGTAGTTAATGTAGGTGAAGAGTGAACATCTGTCTGAAATGCTATTGCAGCTTTTCACAGAACATAACCTTTTATTTGATTTAACTTTAGAAGAAAACTTCGACTCCATCATCAAAAAAATTTTTACTTTTTTAACGCGTTTTATTTTACAATTTGCGTGCACAGTTCCTATGTAAATTTTTCCCTTATTCGAGTTATAAATTTTACCACCAGATGGTGTATGCCCATTTAACGGATTTCAATAGACAGAAGCAAAGTTTTCGATACCATTAAATGATACCATCAAAAGGTCGTTGTGTTTAGTTAAAACACAAACAAAAAATCTCCCTGGTCTTTTTAAATGGTATTTGATGAGATTTTGTTTGGCATTCCCCGCTTGTCTGTTTTGAATTTACGTAATTAATGTATGCGCCCCGCCCTTTACAACTAGTTAGTTGATTATCTGGAACAGATCATCAAATTATGCAACCCAATCAATAAAATTTGTTTACAACGTCTTTCGTTTTTCTTGGCTACTCAAGTTCATGATTTATAAGTACACGATCGTTTGGGTTGGATGGGTTTGCTTTGGTTCTTTCTAACGAAATAAAAAGGTGTCGCTACATATGGCTACGCCACTGGTTTTATTGTCAAACGTCGAAAATAAATCGTTCGTTGCTCCATTTGCTTTTATATCATTATCCTGAAAGAACCGGACTGAAGGAGCGGTCATGACTTTGAAGAAAGAATTACGCGTGGGACGCATGTAAAGTAGATTTGCACTTGTGATTGTTATCATTAAATGTGTCATTTGAACTTAGAAACGGATTCCGGTTCCAGAATACCGTTCTTGCAACCTTATGTTCAATTATTATCAGCACAATAACTGATATAAGCAAAATGATACGAGAAAATAACAAGTGACTTCGATTTTACCAAAAGATTTGATTGATCTGCAAAGCATTGTACGAGAAGTACCTAGAAACATTAAGCAAGAGTCACCCTATTTTTGACGCCGATTTTGTTCGAAATTGTTCATTAATACAGCAGAGATTTACAAAAACTATTGTACTTCATAATCAATACCATTAAAACTCTACACCACGCACTACAATGAAACCGCATCAAAATTATTCGAAGTGGTCTGTATTCTGTCGATCTTTTTGGATCTCATCAGTGCGTCGCAGATAGCTCCGACAGAACACAGACCAACTTTTACCTGCTGTCTTAACAGCGCGTTTTAGAAAATACCATAAATGGCGCGGTAAACGCCATCTGTAGTACGATGCTACATTTTAGGATTACGTATGCTCCAACAAGGTCCATTTAAATATATGGATCTACTGAAACGTTTCGGCGAGTAGATATCCATATATTTAAATGGACCTTGTTGGAGCATATGTAATCCTAAAATGTAGCATCGTACTACAGATGGCGTTTACCTCGACATTTGTGGTATTTTCTAAAACGCATCAAAATTCATCCAATTGATCTCGAGTTTTATAACTACAAACATAAAAATTACTTACCAATTATATTTCCACTTTTCTCCCTGCTCTTCTCGCGAATTGGTTCAGCGGCAAACCTCGTTTTCTGATGCTTTTTCCCCGGTGAACTTTCCCTTGGGGGACTTGTTGGTGGATAATCCGGCGGTGGTTCTTCAAGAGGTTGTTCTTCCGTCAAGTCTTCTCTGGAAGCTGTCCGATATCGTTCGTATTTATCGGAACGGTATAGTTTATCCGCAGAAGTTTTTTTTCGTTGGGGAGGCGTGGGAGTCGTACTTCTGTAGTTAGGGGCGGGGGAGGCCTTGTACGGTTTCGGGGAGGGGGGTCCGTAGTCACGGTACTCTCGAATCGGAGACGGACTGCGATAGTTTCGCACGGGGGAGGAGTGGTATTCTCGAGGCGGTGATTGGCGCCGGTATTCGCGGGCGGGACTGCTGCTGTAGTCGCGAGGTGGGGATGGTCGCCCGTAGTGATCGCAGTAAGTAGATGCGATTGGTCGAGACTCCCGTATTGGCGAAGGGGAATCGTGGGCGGAGGGGTAGATTATTCTCTCTCGGCTGTATCCGTTGTTCCGATTGGACCATTCTTCTATACCTAGAAAAAAAGACAAAAGGGGGAGTTAGATTACAGAAAGAGGTACGTTTTTAATTGATTTAGAGGCGTCTATCTACAAAAGCTTCTCCACCTTGTAAGCAAACCGAAAGCGGAAGAGCCAACAGAACCAAAATACCTTTATAATATCCGTTAGTAGTAGTGCAATTATTCCTCTGCTCCTCGATAATTCTACCGACTTTAGGGGGTGAAACAGAACGTTTCGGTATACCGTTGCTAAGTCCATTAATTTTACCGACACAGTTCGTTTGGAGGGATGGTTGTGATTTGATGGTGACGTTAAAATAGTTAGTGCGAGGGGGCATGGGTTCGGCTTGGGGGTTGAAATCGTCGTCGTCGTCGTCGTCATCGTCGTCGTCCAGCGATTCGTGAGACGAACGGGAGTCACTGCCAAAGTGATTCTCTAACCACTTGGACGTTTCGAGTTTCCTCGTTTCCTCCTCCTGGTCGAAATCGAGAGGCTTTCGTGTTAAAGCGTCTTTTCTGTCTAAGGGAGATGCCGAGGGAAGCGCAGCACCGCCCAGCCCTGAAATGAATGGGTTAACGGTGGGTTAGTCGGTGTGACGTTAAGGGAAAGCCTCGTTTTTGTTTTTAATTTGTACAACAAAACCGTTTTTAGAAGTATTATTAGACTGGTAGCAGTTAGACAATAATATTAATGAGATTAACACATAGTAAAAGAGAGGGGCATGCCAAGGGTCAACACCAAATAAGGCTGACTTTTGAATGACCCTAATGAGAGGTTTTTCCATTGGGGTAGTTCGCGTACTACGTAACGCAATTAGGGGGGGGGTCCTGTAAACTGTTACCGTGCGTTACAAGGAAGGAGGGGTCCAATATTTTGCGAGACGTAATTAATATTTTTAGGTAAGGGAGGAAGTGAAGAGGTGGGTGAAGCTAAACCTTGTTGAGCATTATAAGAGCTAAGGGGTATCAAATATATTCAAAAACTGCTTTACATATTACTTGAACAACCCCCCGTTCCAGTTACATGTTATAGTAATTGTATATGGTATTCATTAATGAATGAATTAATTATTAAATTAGCTCGGTTATCCATAGCATTATTTTGTTAATAAGATTTGTAAACAATTTTCTCCTAGGGTGGAAGCAAAATGTCTTTGAGATCATAATTAATTCCATTTTTCACACTTAATTTTCTAACTAGCGTAGTATCTAAAGGTTCCGTACCCTAACAAAAACGTTAAGTATTTAATACGATTTCAGAAAGCATTAAAGTTTCTTCAATTTACTACGTTGAATCAAATAGTAGATACAATTTTATTTTAGAAAATTCTTAAACATTCTTGAACTCTGTAGATGTAAATCAGTCAGGAGATCTGTGACATTCTGTAACGTTCTAACCAGACGTTGGAACTCAATTAACACCTTTACTGACTCTCCATGTGGAATCCCTTGAGATTATAGTCTTTAAATACCCATATCTATCTATCAAACCAAACCCTTCAGCTATTTTACATGTGTAAACTTTTATCTAAAGTTTTGAAATCTGTTTGTTACAAGAAAACCAGATGAAGTTGCAATCCAAAGCCGGTCCTGGACGTGAATTTGCAACGTATAGAGAAATGGCTATAAAAACTAAGTAACTACTTATATCGACGAAAATTGTAAACAGTGACGGTTGTCGAACAATTAATAAAGTAAATATCAATAGCGTTATAACACACACAGTTTTGCTAAGTTAACAGACCATAGAATATAGAAATATCGTAGTGCGAACGAAATATTACCCATTTACTACAACTGCACATGGTACATCATCATTATCATGGAGGTATATCACGATTACATTGTCTTCAAAATAATAATTGTAACTCCTATAATGATACACCTTCCCATTTGTACTCTTCTGTTAATGTAGGTAATTAACTCCTACACTTACTTACATTAATTAACTGAAATACTTATTAGAATAAGAAAGTAATTAATTACACAATAAAAATTTTACTTTCCGTATAAGTTACGGTCTGGTGAACTAAACAAAGATTTATTAAATAGATATACATGTCCCAGTGTAGGTACTTATTACGCGTGAAAGTTTAATAATAAAAAGGGGACAAAAAATGACCCAATTTCTGAATAATACTGTATATAATACCGTACATATATAAATACATAAAGATCAAGATCGCGACGCGTATGAAATGACTGTTGTGTACACGATTGGGTACAGTAGGGCGAAGTAAGCGCCTCGAATTTTTTTTATATAAATCGACCTTTTACTTAAGGCGTAGTAGTGGTAATCTAAAAAATTCCTTTTCGAAATATAAAATTGCCCCAACATATTCTTACGACGCCTGTTTTAATCACACACACGTAAATCATACGACCGATCGTTCCGCACCCTTTTTTCTAGACCGTGTTTCTGAAATATGTAGCAAGTATGCAGGAGATGATAAGGCACTATAAAACAAGAAAATTAAGTAAATGTTTAGTGGTCCGAAAGTCCACTGTTTTCAAGAAATACGTATTTGAAAGTAAAGTCAAGGAGCAGTCCGGCACTGGCGGTATCACGCAGGGAAATATGACATTGCAGCGACGCATAGCATCCGTGTTGTAGGAGTACTTCTTTTGTATTTTGTGTTTTTAATACCATGTCGAGGTATACTTTAAATAGTACTGCATACTATCAGCGACCAACAAAGTAATTGGTTAATTAATTGTTATCGCAACAAGCGTCTAAAAATTATTATGTGTAATAGCGAAGTAAAGCTGTTGATATTTACTTTATTAGTCGTTCCACAATCGTCACTGTTTACATTTGTCGTCGATGTAGTTGTTTAATTATTATCGCAATTTCTCTATACGTTGCCAATTCACGTCCAAGACCGGCTTCGAATTGCAACTTCATCTGGTTTTCTTACAATTTTTTTGTCTTTTAACATCCTTTCGCTACTTACTAAGCGATTCCCTTTACGTTAATCATACGACCGGTCGTTCCGCACTCTTTTTTCTAGACAGTGTTTCTGAAATATGTAGCAAGTATGCAGGAGATGATAAGGCACTATAAAACAAGAAAATTAAGTAAATGTTTAGCGGTCCTAAAGTCCACTGTTTTCAAGAAATACGTATTTGAAAGTAAAGTCAAGGAGCAGTCCGGCCCTGGCGGTATCACGCAGGGAAATATGACATTGCAGCGCCGCATAGCATCCGTGTTGTAGGAGTACTTCTTTTGTATTTTGTGTTTTTAATACCATGTTGAGGTGGACTTTAAATAGTACTGCATACTATCAGCGACCAACAAAGTAATTGTTTAATTAATTGTTATCGCAATGAGCGTCTAAAAATTATTATGTGTAATAGCGAAATAAAGCTGTTGATAATTACTTTATTAGTCGTTTCACAATCGTCACTGTTTACATTTGTCGTCGATGTAGTTGTTTTATACATATTATCGCAATTTCTCTATACGTTGCCAATTCACGTCCAGGACCGGCTTCGAATTGCAACTTCATCTGGTTTTCTTACAATTTTTTTGTCTTTTAACATCCTTTCGCTACTTACTAAGCGATTCCCTATTGCATCTTATTAACACCCCAAAAGCTTGGTACTTATTTCAGAAACACCCTGTATTTAACGGTCTTAACAGCTGCGACAGACAAACGCACACGGATGTAATTTTGTAAGGGTTCTTCTAACCCTTCAAATAAAAGCTGTTATTTTTAATAATTTGAGGTTCTTTTACTAACTGCAGTGACCTCCGGGCAAGGGTCAAACCGTCATTTTTTTTTATATTCAGGTGCATTCCAATTACGGAAGCGTACGTACAGAAACATTTGGACCACACGATTTTTTGGTGCAGGAAGAAGACGTCGACCTTTACAAACATTAAGTGGTCAAAATAAACTTCACCGATGTCAACGAACTCTTTTAAAACCAGATGATGTTAATAGAACGCATAAATCTTCGCGAGAGAATACGACAAAACGTTTTACGACATCATACAAAATAAAAAGAACAACTGCACGTTGTTGCTAACGAGTTCGTTTAAATAAATAATTGTATAACGGCTACAAATTGTTATTTAGAACAGCAGCTACTGTTGGTGTAAAGTAATTTTAATTTGTACAATATATAACTCAAAAAAAAATAATTGAAAATTGATCATCAATACGTGTTAACGTTGTCCGATTATTTAATGACAACTTCGTACCCAAAAGGGTTCATATAAAAGTTGTTTGTCGTGGATACGTCTATTGTGTAAAACGATTTTAATTTACAATTAGTTGAACTGAATTGGTTTCGAAAATGTCATAATGTCATTGCAATTTTTTAAATGGAAATAGAAGATGTTACCGTGGATAGAGAAGGTTAGAAATGAAGAGGTATTAGAATGAATAGGAGAATTTCTATGGAAGTCAATAGAAGTAGGCGAGATAGGTTGGTAGGACACCTTCTCAGGCATGAAGGTCTAGTCAGAGACATATTAGAGGCAGAAACGGGAGTTAGGAGGGGTTGAGGTAGATCTAGATTAGATTACTGTTCGCAAATAGTTAAGGATGTGGGATATTCTAGTTTTAGGGAAAAGTGAAGATTAGCTCAGGATAGAAAAGAGTGGAGTTGCGTGTCCAATCAGTCTTAGGACTGACGACCTTATGATGTTGGAGAAGTAATCGTCGATATTAGATACAAATGTCGATTTTACTTCAACTACTTACACTTTGTACAAGATAATATCTCTTGCGTAATAGATTTTAAAATAAATTTAAAAAAATACACTTACCGCGTGTTTTATAAGCCGGTACTCTCTGGTTCTGCCTCCTCCTGGTCCTCGCTTGAAGGGAATCGTAATCAGGTTCGTCCAAGCCGTTTCCATATCTTTCTGCCTCAGTGTTTTCCGTCCTGTACCTCATTTCGTGACCCACACGCACTCCGTTCCTGAGGTATTCCACGTCTTCCTGTTCACGTCCCTTGAAATACCTACATAAGTAAAAAAAAGACTTAATAATTTTTTTCATCAACTTTTCGATCTCGTAAAGCCAATGGCCAAAAATTACAAATAATAAAATGAATATGTTTTTACCTTTCATGCGATTCTTTATGTTCGTTTACGTCGGGTGCATCTTCGGGTAGTTCGTCATCGTTTACCTCCTCGTGTTCGGTCGTCCTTTGGGTTTCCGTGACAATGCGTCCGTCAGGCCTTACTGAACTCAATTCTCTCGTTTCTTCGGTGTCTGTAACTTGACGGGATTTGTGCGATTCGTTGATGAGTCGGGGACCAGTTGAAACAAGAGCTTTCTCGTGGTCCCTCAATATTATTTTTCGTAAATCGCTGTCTGGACCGTTGACAGCTTTCAGGAATTCCTGTAATCAAAATTAATATGAATAATATATTGTAATAACTGTAAGCAACAAGTCCATTTTTGATCTCAGTATTCATTATAATACCAAACTTTGACATCAACCCTTAGTCCGGCCCTGGTTGTAATAGATAATAGTAAAACCGCTTAGACGTTTATGTAGCTATCAAGTCAAGTCTCATAAATATGTTTGAAAATCATCTTTTCTACCAAAATTTACTTCTGATGTTGACAATATACCGCCTGGCGTCCGCCATATTGGATATTGACTTGATCTTTACCGTATGTCACCCGCAAACTCAAAAGGAATCCTAAATACGGAATCCGTTCTACTTTTTTAAGTTTTACTAACTTATTTAAGAGAAAGATTTAAAATTCCAAACACTGAAATGAAGTTAATGAAAATTTCAAAGACAAGTCGATTTTTAATCTCAGTATTCGTTATAATACCAAACTTTGACACCAACTCCCAGTCCAGCCCTGGTAACAACCATTTCGTAATAGATAATGGTGAAAACCGCTTAGACATTTGTATAGCTATCAAGTCAAGTATTATAAATATGTTTCAAAATCATCTTTTCGACCAAAATTTACTTCTGATGTTGACAATATGGCGCCTGGCGTCCGCCATATTGGATATTGACTTAATATCTACCATGTGTCAACCGTAAATTCAAAAGGAATCCTAAATATGGAATCCTTTCTACGATTTTATGTTTTACTAACTCTTTAGGAGAAAGATTTAAAATTCCAAACACTGAAATGACAAGTCGAGTTTTGATCTTAGTATTCGTTATAATACCAAACTTTGACACCAACCCCCAATCCGGCCCTGGTTGTAACCATTTCGTAATAGATAATGGTAAAAACCGCTTAGATATTTGTGTAGCTGTCATGTCAAGTATCATAAATATGTTTCAAAATTATCTTTTCTACTAAAATTTACTTCTGATGTTGACAATATGGCGCCTGACGTCCGCCATATTGAATATTGACTTAACATCTACCGTATGTCAACCGCAAACTCAAAAGGAATCCTATACAAGGAATCCTTTATACGTTTTTAAGTTTTACTAACTTATTTAGGAGAAAGATCTAAAATTCCAGACACTGAGATGAATTTAATGAAAATTTCAAAGACCTACTAAAGTGGAATTTTCATTGGTTTATAAACACGACAAAGAGAAAAGCAGAGCCATTATAATTACTTGGTGTCAGNGAGGTAGACCTAGATTAGATTACTGTTCGCAAATAGTTAAGGATGTGGGCTGTTCTAGTTTTAGGGAAATGCGAAGTTTAGCTCAGGATAGGAAAGAGTGGAGGTACGTGTCCAACCAGTCTTACGACTGATGACCTTATGATGATGATAGAGGAGATAGCCGCACCGACTATGTGAGACAAAAACCTAAAAGTTTCCAAAAACTGTCCAAACAAACCTATCATAGAATAATATTATGTATACGTAGCGATGTACGTAAGTAACAAATTTCAAGTTGTTTTTGCGGAAATTTCATAATGAGTTTTTAAGTGTAACACTCGGGAAAGCCATACAGCAATTATCTAAATAATCTTTTTAGAAGAAGAGATAAGATTATTTTTCTTCTTTGTACGGAAATGTTTGTCAATATATTATTAGGTAATTGTTATTAAATTCTCATTCGGAATATTTCACTATATGTATTTCTGTCATCCGTTTCTCACACTATTATTATTAGAGCCTTATTGCTGGATAGACAGAAATAATAATTAAAAAAAAGTCCAGAATAAGGCGAAATTGAGAAGGTTACATGGTTGTGTTGTGGTGAGAATATACAGAGAAACTGATTCACTATTGTTATTTAAAACCTTCTGTAACACCTGGAACCTTGACTTTTATTAAGATACGGTGCATTTATTCGTATATGCGAAAGTATCTGTATTTATTGATTTTATTTTTTATAGTAAGATCTTCTTTATGTATGTAAAATCAGTTGAAGGTTATTTTTGAAATACGTACAGTATAGGAGGTATACCTACTAAAAGTATAATTCTTGTATTTTAATCCTAATATTATAAATAAAAACCAATATGAGTTTGTTTGTTACCATTTTACGCCTTAACTACTCGCCCGATCATCATGAAATTTTTTACACACATTGTCAGGGGTACAAAAAAGGATATAGGGTGCCTTTTATACTGAAAGGCATTACTATTCCCGAGGGATAGAAGAAATTGTTTTTATGTGGTCGTCGATGATTTTTGACACATATTTAGGACAAAACCTATCATGAAATTTTGTACATACATTGTCAGGGGTACAAAAAAGGACGTACAGTACCATTCATCCAAAAAAAAGATAGTGTTCCCAAAGGATAGAAAAATTGATTTTATTGTGGTTATCGATGATTTTTGGGCACGAACGCGATCGAAGCCGTGGGTAAAACCTAAAAACTAGTACCTATATAATACTAATTAGCATTTTATTAGATAATAAGGTAATTTATTCGACTTTGAATAACATGACACTTAACCTTAATTTAATGAAATTTATGACAAAATTCGTGATATCATCTTAAAAAAAACTAGGATTTCTAAATTCTGTAAACTATTAAATTAAATCGCAACAGTTTTCAACACGGAGACAGTCGATTCATTACCGCAACTGGATTTCAATATAATTTGTAACCGGTAAAAGAAAAAAACAAACAAAAAGTTTCGCTGCATTCGACAAATGCTTGGTAAATTTGAATAGGACCTGTAGTTTTTTATTAATTAAGACAATAGTCACAAGGAAATATATATATATATATATAT